ATTTTAGTTTTGTGTTGAGATCAATGTATAATCAATTTTTAGTGTATTTTATCAGCTATTTCCTTTTATAAATATTGGGATAATTTGACAGTTTTTGAATATCATCTCTGTGTTAGCATTAATTCTAGTCTGGTTCACAAACATTTTAGTCTCACAATCCTGTTATATTCTTAGAAATCATTGAGAACCCAAAAAGCTTTTTGTTCATGCTGTTTATTGTTACATTAATCAGTACCAATTTAGAAGTCAAAGCTAAGAAACTTTAAAATATTGATTGGATTAGAAATACCAATAAATCCATTGTATGTTAATATAAATATTGGTAAATATTGTAAAATAAGTTTATTTTTCAAAATAAAAAATTATTTAAGAATGACATTGTTTTTCTGTTTTGCAGAAATTTCTCTAGTGTCTGCCTATATTTGGCAATTGGAATTTTTCTTATTTTTGGCTTTTTGAGACAGGTTCTTGCTATGTAGTTTGGGCTGGCCTTGAACTCACTATGTAATGTAGCCCAGGCTGGTTTTGAACTTGTGATGATCCTCCTGCCTCAACCTCCCATGTGCTAAGATTACAAGCATATACCACCACATCCAGCAGCCAAAATCTTATACCCTGCATTTAATCTGTTGTGATATGTGTTTTGGTTACAGTATATAAAGAAAATTTGGTCTCACATAGTTATGTAGTTGGACAGGGGAAGCATTTCTATAGTTTTTTTTTTTCATGTAACTGTGGATAATCTTCTTTGATGATAAAATAAAATTCAATTAACAGAAACTTTTTTTCTTTTTTTGCAACACTGGGGGCCAAACCTAGACCTTTGTGCATACTAGGCAAGCCTTGTACCATTGTCTAGGTGTCCTGGTAATTATGACATTATGGGGAATTTTCATGACTTTAGTGTTTCTGTCACAAACCCTTTCAGATATTAGAACCTGTTTGTAGTAATATTTATGTTATATAGGAATTTGTCTTCAGAATAGTTGATCTTTCTGAGATAACATTATTTTAACTACTTGGGAGGTGAGATACTCTGGCAAAATTTCTGAAAGTCAAAACATACAGGAGGCTTTACTTTTTCCAAAACCAATCTTACATAACGCCTTTCCTATGTGACTGTGAATCATATTCGTATTTATCAGTTTTTGTCTTTCTCCCCTGGAGATTACTGTCATGAATTACTAGCTCATGTTCCCATGTACACAGATAAGGAATTTAACCAGTTCCTATGGGTAATTATTCTTTTGTTTTTCACTTATGCTGTCTTGCTCATAAGTTTATAAATCTTAGGCTCAGAATTTCTTGGGGTAGGGGGAGATTCTTTTATCATATCGGTTGGGGTAATAACTGTTTAATCAACTTGCTGCAAGACCTGCTAGAGCATTTAAGAAGCTTTTGCACATTATGATGTGTAAGTATAAGGCATAAAACTATGTGCAGTTCTAAAATGCATGGCCCTTTGTTCCACTACAGACTGGAACGCTGAAAAATTAACTTTGAGATATTTTGATTAGAATATAATAAAGAGATTACAGAGCTTGAATGTATCTCAGAGGTCATCCTGTCATCTAGTTCACCCACCTATTGATCCATCCTTATGTTATAGATGTGCAAACAAAGTCACGTCCAAGAGTTCAGCACAGTGAGGTCTTACCACTTCCAGGAAATAATTGCTGCAGAAGTACATCTTGTGTCCTAGACTGACCACCATCCAGCACTCAGGCCCCTCTCAGCATCAGGCCCGTCATCACCTCTCCATCCAGGAAAAACCCGCTCCCTTGTGGCTCCTGAGCCATAGGGAAGAACAACAATTTCACTTGCAATATATTTTTTGGCTTCTCTCAACATGTCCAGCAGAAGTTTAAGTTTTATTTCAAGATGTGAATTGTAAAAACAAATTTTATTCCAATCAGGGCCTAATCAATGCTAGTTTCTTGAGAAAATGCTTGGCTGTTGACAACCCAGAACCTACTCAGAGTCTCAGACTAGTGTAGACAAGGCCTGGCATTAATATCTTCAGACTCAATAAGGGTTGAAGGGGAAGAGAGGAGTTCAAGGGAAAGTACGGCAAAGGTAGAATAAGGTAGACTCCCCTAGATTTCAGGCTGTCCTGAGAGAAAGTGTGGATGTCTGTCTTCACAACACTTACTCTCTTTTGCTCATTAGATTGTTAGACTTACTTCTCTGCAAGCATCTGATGCTCATTTTAGTAAAATTTGGCAACAGTGATATTACATACTTTTACTTTATTCTCATTCTCATTCTCACAAGGAGAAAAGAATAACAGATACAAGATTTTTTTTTTTTTTTTTTTTTTTTTTTTTTTTTTTTGGTTTATAGCTCAGAAAATCAGCCATAGATGATTTCCTTTTATGGAGACAATGTCGTGGAGAGAAGAGCAGACCAGCAGTCAGAGACCGAAGCTGACATCATGGCTTCCTCATGTTCTGACTGTTCACTTGGGCGAATGGCTTCTTCTCTTGGGCTGGTTTTCCTCCTTCATCCCAGGTGGAGGCTGAACTGTAGGAGCTGCCCCCAAGCTCTGATGTTCCAGGATTCCTTGACTCAGTGACATTTTTTTTGTCCTTAAATATCTGCCCTGTTTCTATAGGATCCAGGACAAATCTTTTCACTCCCATTCAGATTTCTCCTGACCCTGGGTCCATCCTTCCTTCCAGCCTCACCTCCAAGTGACCTTTCTTCTTGTCTGCCTCCTGTTCAGATCTGATTCACATGCGAAGCCAAAGCAAAGCATTATCGCCTTCCAAAGCTCTTCCTGACTACTTTCTCCAGGACAGTCCTCCACCCCTCTAAGGCAAGTTGCCATTGCTTTGTCTTTGCTTTCACTCACTTAGTGCAGGGTAGTTTTCATTTCCATGTACGTGTTTATTTTCACAAATATACCATATTTGGGGGACTTGTTCTTTGTTTTTTCCTCATTTTTTTTAAAGTCTCAGGGTCTGCTAATAAAGGGAAAATTGTGTAAGTTCATTAAGTCTTCTGACTGTGAGATGATTTGAGCACTTCCAGCTGTTTGTAGCCATCATGGTAAGTTCATTCATACGTTCTAACTTGGGCTAATGTTTCTAACAGTGGATTCATGTGTTGCACAGATCTTCTGGAATCCAGAGTGCAGTATGTGGCTCTGGAACAGTGGCAAGTCTCTCAGCTGCTGGTACTCTTTAAACCCTTCTCTCCAGTTTCATGACCGGCTCCTTATTGGCCTGTGTGCCAAGTATTCTTGCCATATTCATCAGTGCTTCATGAACACAATTTCATTCCCTTTGTACAGTGGCTCTCTGCAGCAGGAACTATTTCATAGATTAGGAAGTTGAGCTAAAGAGCTATTAAGGAGCTTGGTGTTATGGTTTGTGTCTGCATGTCCCCCCAAACTCTCATGCAGTCATGGGGCAGGCTTCTAGAGTTTATGATTGATTTGTGGTCCCATGCTGGGATTATGAGCATGAAGGCTACACCCACCCAGAGCGGGGAGCCTGCATACAACAAGGGAGGGAAAGAGGCTTGCTCTCTGCTCCTCCTGTCTTTTTACTCTTGCTGCTTTTGCTGTTTTCACCCTGCATGAACTGTTGCCCTCTGCCATGTGCCACTCTGCTTTGGAGCCAACCAAGTATGCACTGAAACCTCCACAAACCATGAACTAAATAGACTTTTCCTTCCTTAATTTTTGGCAGCAGGTATTTTGTTTCAACAATGAGAGAAAAGTAGCTGAGGCACTTGGCTTTGATCAGATAGCTAACATATGGCAGTGTTAGGATTTGACTAGGACCTTCTGACTCCATATCAAAGTTCCTACTGGAGTGGTCAGGAAAAATACACAATAAGAAAGTTGTGTGAGGTAGACGTCATATTCACTGCATCAGAGAATGACCATGGAGAATGTTCTCATTTGTAGAATTTCCTTTCAGTATCTGACTGAGCTAAAGAAGAGCTCCTTATCTTATTGGTTTCACTCTGGGTAAAGAATGAATGAGAATATAGAGAAGTAGGTTACCCTGCTGCCTGAAATTGTAGTGCAAATGGTGATAACATTAAGCTTTGGAAATTGGATGTGAAGGAATTAAAGATTAGAGGAGACAGCCAAAGCCTACTGACTTTTAGGAGACACAGTATTAACTATTTGTAATGCATATGATAAACTGCATGTTATAGATGCATAGTATAGATACTGTCATAGGAAGTACACTACAGTGATTTCCTATAATAAGTGGATCAAGCCAAAGAAACAGCAGTGACCACAACTGTGACCTTGGCCAAATTATTTACTACTTTATACCTTATTTTCTTTTTCTGTAAAATGAATAGAGAAGCATGTAATTCACATGTGCTTGATAGGATTGAATTACACAATCACTTACCAAATATATAGTACCTGAACGCTTATTAGATACGCTTTATCTATTTATTTTTATGAGTCTTTGCAGCACATAATGATTACATTCATTGCAGGGAATTGGTGCATGTACAGGACACATCTTCATTCTATTTTTCATTCTCTTCCCCTCCTACCTCTCCCTGCTTTCTTCAACTCTTGGCCTTCTTCCCATTTGCAAAAGCTCCATTTCCACTTTTTCTTCAATTCCGTGTTTTCTCTCCCTTTTCTGCTCCTTACTTCCCCTCCCTCCCTCTCTTGTTTCTCCCCCCATCTGAGAAAGATCTCCCTACTTCCTATTGTTTATCTTCTGATTTGCTTTTTATAGATATTGGGGGGAATTCTCATATAAGAGAATCCACATTACCTTTAAGCTTGTGTGGCTGATTTATTTCACTTAATGTTGTGCTCTGGGAGTTGAACCAGGAACAAATTAAACAAAAATCTCTGCTCCTAGAGACCAGAAAAGACCAACAGTAATTCACAGAGACAAAAGCCTTATTTAAATAGTATGTTAGTGGTTAACACGTTCTAAGGGGAAAACTTAAACAGGAAAGTGGAAGAGGAAGTTCTGGTGAACTGAGAGTGGTCAGAAAGGTAATAGAGTGAATCAGCAAGGTATGAGGAAGTAAGCCATGTAATTAGGCAAAGGAAACATGAGCATGAGGACCCTGAGGAAGAACAAGCAGGTAAGCATGGCAGAGCAGAGTTGATATGAGAAGAGTTGGAGATAAAGCGAGAGTCACTAAGGCCTTGTAGGTTATCACAAGGAATTTGTATGTGAGTGAGTGAATTTGTATTTGAATTCGAATTTGTATTTGTGTTTGTATTTGAATTTGTATTATGTGAATGAAGAGTGCAGCCATGGGAAGATTCTCAGCAGAGCTCTGATCTGACCTAGCCTGCTGAATTGGGACCAGACCTAGGGACAAGGAAAGAGAGAGACCATCCAGAGGTTGCTGCAATAGTTACAGCCACAGGCAACATGGGCTTAGACCCCCACGGTAACTGTTCAACCACAATACCAGGGTAGGTCAGTTACAAGTTGTGAGAGTATGAGTGTATTGTGAAGATGCAACTAATGATGGCATTTTAAATGTGATGTGTCAGTTAGATTTTTGTTGCCTGAAAAAATCGATTTAGGAGAAAAGGTTCATTTCAGCCCATGGTTCCAAGGTTTTAGTCCATGGTCAGCCGGCTCTGAAGCAGGAACATGGCAGAGGGGCACGGCAGAGGAAAGCTGCTCACTTCATGGCAGCCAGGAGGCAGATAACAAGAGGAAAAGCCAGAGAAACAGAGACAAGGACCAGATACAGTCTCCAAGGTCATACTCCTATATCCCACCCAGACACACCCATAAGTGTGATTTACTAATCTCCTACGTGTGTCTTAAACCAATGGAATTAGTAATCAAGATTAACCATCACAAGTCCATCCCTTGTCACCCAAATACATCTTCTTAACACACAATTTTTAAATAGAGACAAAAAGAAGGTCATAATTTCGCCTAACATGATGAAACTATCCTGCATACAGTAAAAAACTCACTGATTTCTTCCCCTAAAGTCTCAGCAGTTCCCATATTGCTTAAAGATCAAATCCACAGTCTCTTCTGAGATTCAAGGCAAACTATTGGCTGTGAGCCTTTGTACATTGAAAAGAAAATCAAGTCATATACCTCCAAGATAAGGTGGTCAAGTATAAACAATCCCATTCCAAAAGTGAAGAACAGGAGATTAGAAAGGAATTAGACCAAAGAGACAACAACTCAGCCAGGCAAACATTACATTTTGCAGCTTCATGTCCAGCATGTTGGCCACATGGTGGCATAATGTGAGCTCAAGGGGATTCTCAGGCAGCCTTGTCCCTGTGCCTTGCTGTTTGTAGCACATGACCTCTCCTTAGTCTGCCTCTGATCTCTGTCTGCAGCTTTCCTCAGCAGATGTTCCACATTCCTGATATTACCAACTTCCTGGGGATGCCATTGCAGCTTTGGCCTTATCACCACAGATCTACACACTGCACTCTCAGGGGCTCCCAGAAGAACTCTCACCCTTTGTTTTAAATCTGCTTGGAAGAATCCATTACCCCATAACTCTTTCATTCTGCATGCCTGCAAAACAAATATCATGTGGATGACAACAAGATCTGCCACAGCTTGAACAGTAACTTGACCCCCTTGCACCATGGCTACAGAGGCCTCTGAGTGCCTGCAAGGCTGACCACAAGGGAACACTGCCTCAAAGGGCTTTCAGTGAGCAGGACACCCTGGGGATCTTTCTCAAAGCAAAGTCTTTCAACAGAGTTTACACTTTGTCATCTTGCATCTGTAATAGGCGTGATCTAACTAATTCTTGACCTAACTCGAAGGCATCTTTTCTGCTGTCCCAGGGGCAAAGTATTTGGCTTCTTTTTTAACAGAATTGATCTCTTCAACAACCACACCTTCCTTGGCACCAGCTTTACCAGTGCTTATTATTACCAGTGCTGGCCAAAGAATAAATTTTAAAATCTTTTTGCTGTTCTTATTGTTCTTGATTCTCACTATAAATATGGCTAAAAGTGGCCAGCTGTACGTGCAGCATATCCTGAACTTCGGGTTGCCTTGAAATTTCCTACACCATCTTTAAATTCAGCTCCACACAAAGTGTCGGGGCAAGGACAAAATGCAAACAAGCTTTTCACTGGAGTGTAACAGGAATGGCGTGTAGTCCAGTTACCACTAGCATCCTCTTCCCCTCTGAAACCTCATGTACATGGTCTTTATAGTACACATTCCTAGCATTCAGTTCTCCTGAGCTACCACCAGAATTGCCTACCATGCTCTGCTTACAGCATTCTAGGGATTCTCTTCCCTGTATCTCTAAACCTACAGCAAGCCATTCCCAAAGTTTCCTGATCCACATGGTCGAGTATTGTCAAAGCAATGGTCCCCACTTCTGTGGCATGGATTTTCTATATTGGTCACATTTTCATTGCTGGGACAAAATGCCTGACATAAACAACCTTAAGAAGGGAATAGTTTAGGCTATGGTTTTGGAGGTTTTAATTCATAGTTGGCTCACTCTGAGACAGAAGTAGCATGGTAGCATGCCATGGCAGAGGAAATTTGTGAATCTAGTGGCTGTTGAGAAGTAGAGAATAAGGGAAAAAACAGAGAGGAAGAGCTGGGGTCAAATATAATCCCCAGATCATGGCCCTATGACCCACCCAGATACAACCAGAAGTGTGCTTTACTATCTCCTAGGTGTCTCTCAGGCCAATAAAGTTGGCAGTCAAAATTAACCTTCACAGGAGGATACAAGTTAGAGTCAAAGTTGACTTTAAAGGCTTTGGATTGCTGAAATAGAGAGACAAAGTGAGGTCTCACCGAGATGGAGAAAACACTTTTGTGGGTGTATGTGTGTGGGATTGGAGTTGTGCCTCATGCGAAGTTTGAGATGTATTTAGAGTTCCAGGCAGGAGGCATCACATAGGCAGTTAGATATACAGGTCTGGAGTTCTGGGCGAAACTTTGTTTGAAAAATAAGTCCAGAATCATTCATATTTCAATGTTATATAAAGACATGATCCTGTTTATGATCATAAAAGGAGGAGAACCAAGAGAGGAGAGAAGAGTTCCAAGATCTGAACACTAGAGCACTCCAGGTGCTCAGGACATGGATAACGGGAAGCTGTGAGACAGCAGGAGTATTAGGTGAGTGTTGTGTCCTGGAAAACAAGACAGGAGTGACACAAGGGTAACAAGCAGCTGAAATGTCAAATGCGGTGAGGACGGAGCCCTGAACACCGAACTGAGCAACGTGGGAGATAATGGGACCTTCGCCAGTACAGTTCGGTGGGATAACAGGGACAGAACTCTGCACTGGATTGAGTAGAAAGGAGAAAAATTAGTGACAGAGAATATATCCATCCATTTTAAGGGATTTTCTTATGGCATAGATAAGGGAAATAAGATAGTAGCTGTTGGAGAAAAAAAGAAAAGTCCTCCTTCCTTCCTTCTTCCCTCCCTTCCTTCCTTCCTTTCACCCTCCCTCCCTTCTTTCCTTCCATCCACTTTCCCTCCCTCCCTCCCTTCCTTCCTTCCTTCCTTCTTTCCTTCCTTCCTTCCTTTCTTCCCTCCTTCCTTCCATCCTTCCTTCTCTCCTTCCTTCCAT